CCTTCCCCTCCCTTCCCCTTCCCTCCTTGCATTCCTGTCTCCATCTCCATGTTCTTCTGAAGGGGTCTGATGTTCAGGAGTTGGTGCTGGTGAAATCTGAAGGACAGATACTAAAGAGGGGACCCTGCAGCTGGTCACCAGTGCCAGGGGTGGTAGCGATGGTCCCCCACTGTTGGTCAGTGTCTCAGGCCAAGCTGCCCTGAGGCTGAGGCCTGATGGAGCAGGTGAGTGGACTGTGGGTAGCATAGGAGTGTGGTGGCCCAGGGACTTCCTTCCACTGAAGGCACACTTGACACACTTCGGGACATTTTACTCCACATCTCCACACTGTGGGCTTTGCAGGCGTGGGGGTTCTGCTTGGAACTCTCCTCCACATGGCACCACCGGGACAGATTCGAATACCCCTGCCCAAGGCTTAAAGCAGGAGCACAGCTCAGTGTTCCAGCAGGACAAGCCATTGCGTTCAGAGAGAAGAAGAGGTGTCACACGTGGAGCAAGGAGGAGTTTGTCTGGCGTGCTTGCTTTTAGCCCCTCGTTGCACCACCTAGAGTAAGGACGACCGCAAGCAGCCTGAGCGAGGAAGGCCCGGGGACACTTCCAATCCTCCCCTCTTCTGTTTCTCCAGGATTCTGTTTCACTTGCACCACAAAGCCCCAGATCTTTGGCCCCATCTTCAGGGAGCTCTACAGCTACCGATTCTAATGCAGAGCTCTGCTGATTCAGAACTCTGGACAACTCAAGTTTCATGAGCTTTCCACTGAGTCTTCTGCTTTCCTTAAAATCCAGCTCTCCCTTTATTCCACTGAAGAAGATATTACAGATTTCACCTGTGCTGCATTAGACTCCCCCCCCCCCCGACTTGCCTTTCCTGGTAAGAATGAATCGCATCTACACCGCCCTCCTGCATCAGAGGACACCCTTTCCCTAAGCTTTAGACCATAATTAATTCACATGTAGCTGCTCTAGTAGACTAAAAGCTCACTGAGTGCAAGGACTATGTTTTATTGTTTGAAGTAAAGAAAACACAGTATTTAGTAGCAATACATTCTCTCCCAGGAGTGCAGAGCCTGCGTGTGTTCAAGAGGCAGGACCACCGAGTTGCAGCGTGGAACGGCTCAGTTTGGGACAGTGACTCCTCCAGAGCAGAGCCTAAGTGATCAGGAAGTACACGCGCAGTCCAGGCGGTGGCGCACACCTGCAGCCCAGCACTGTGGAGGCTGAGGCAGGAGGACTGCGAGTTCGAGCCCCGCTGGGGCAAGTTATCCATTCATAAAGCCTCTGTCTCCACAGCTCATGCGCTGCAGCACCATAACTAGGTGAAGCGAGGGCTCCTTGAACACAGCAGTGTGGCGCCCTGGCAGTGAATCCAACAGCGGAGAGAGTTGGCTCCTGGGTGGCAGCTGGCTCTTGGGGTGTGCTTGTGCAGTTTAAAGGATGTGCTGGATGGAGCACATCCTAGGCAGGATGGAGCAAGAAAGCACAAGCTTCCACCACACTGCTCAAGATGGTGCACAGTTCAAAATGTATGACCTATCTATTTCTAGAAATACTAAGTGGAAACACTTCATATCTTTCAGGCCACAGTTGATCGTGGGTAACCATGGAAAACGAAGCCATGGGCCCACGTGGGAGGATCGTTGTGTATAAGCAGAGCATGCCTCAGGAGGCTCCCTCACTTCTTCCTCTTCAGTTCCTTCATGGAACTTGTGAAATAGCTCAGGTGAATTGATTGTGTGCTTACCAAACCGATGTCTCCTGCACTAAAATGTACGATCCACACAACCACAAACTGTGACTGTGTCGCTACCCATAGTGCAGTGCATGATGCTCCAATATTCACAGAAGGAGTCACTTGGGAGCTCCAAGGAGACAGTTTAATGTTTAACTCAGCAATACTCAGAAGGAGAATCACTCTTCTAACACAGTATGTGTTAAGATCTTCATTCTCCTCAGGGAGTCAAGATCTGTTAATACACATGGCGAAGATAGACTTTCTGCAGAGACCCTTTCTGTCCACTTACATTACTCCAGGGAAACATCTTCTTGTCGGGAGTGGCTGAAGCTGGGGATCAGTTACATGTGCAAGTGGAGGTGGAGCAGGGCCAGTCCCTAGAACAGAGTGCCTGAGGAGAGCCGTGTGAATGAGCTGCTCCAGTCCAGAGGACCCTGGGGACAACTGCTAGGTGGGTGTGGGGGGGGCTCACATGACATCAACCTGCAAGTGTATAAAGGAAGTGCTGCAGTCACTGAGCAGCTCTTTCCTCCCATCAGGAGAGGAGGCTCCCCTGACCTCAGCTTTCTGACTCTTTTCTTTATTTCTTCATCCTCTACCACAGTTCATTCCAAAGAATTTGAGAGCTGGACTGGATGCAGCATAATGGTGACTGAATGGGGATTCAGGATGCAAAGAAATAGCAGGTGAGAGGACTCCTCTGAGAGCGCATGTGTGAATAAAAGCAGGCTCAAGAGAAGGCTGGGGCGAGAGGGCGAGAGTGTGTGGATATTGATTTCATCAGGTGTAAAATGTGGGGCAAAGGCAGGCTCCCTAGAGCAGCAGTTGTAAAGAGCAAGGCTTCTTGTGGACCTGGATTAGGGAGCATCTCGTGATTGCGCACTTACAGAGATAGCCAGGAAGGATTTCACTTGGGACACTATCTTAAAACTAAGTCCCAAGAAGGAGAAGTGATGGCAGAGCAAGAGCCCCCTCAATAGAGATTAAACCCTCCAGTTTTGCCCAATCAAATGAGGAAAGAGCTGTGGGAGACAAAATATAAAAAGCTAAACCATGTTTAAGTCCAAGGGATCATTTATTATGGAAGGAAAACATTTTGATTTGTGTTCAGGTTGAGCTGCCCACACAGTTGGCTCAACACAGCTCATCATCACCGGGGTTCATGGTGGAAGCTGAGAGAGGGGCCCACACCGCAGCCCTAGATGCCCCAGTCATCCCACCTCCACACCTTCCAGCTGTGCCCATGGACCCTTGCACCCCGTGCTGTGCTTGGGGCCTCGGGAGCCACAGTATCCCAAATTGGAAGAGGACGAAGTAAACCATAATGGTGGCCATGGTTGTAGGAGCAATGACTGAGGTGTCCTCTGGGGAGGGGCATGAGCAAAGCCAACTCAGAGGTGGATGTCATCCCTGGTGGGGAGATGGGCATGATGCACGCCTGGTCACTGCTGCTGAAGCGTGGGTGCTGGACAGCGAGGCTGAGGGATAGCAGACTGCTCCCCTTGGACCGACAAGCTGCCACTGGCACCAAGAGAGCGCACCCACGGCTCTGAGGTGATGTGGTGGAAGACCCAGCCAGAGGGGGAAGCAGCAAGCAGGAGCCTGGGCGCCCAGTGCAGGACTCAGATTTCCTGTCTGACAGAAGACTGAGTTGTAGGCTGTTGTACGGGCCGTGCAGGGTTATCCATCCAGTCCCATAACCTCTTCTATAGCACTTAAGTTTGTAGTGTGGATATACCACATCGAAACTGCCACCGTTCGCACTGGCCAAGAAGATAGCTTTTATTTATTTCATGCTCTCAATTTGCAATTCAGTCACCCATGTTCCCAGTTTCTTTCATCATTTACTTTCTCCTTCCCACTTGTAAGGCATGAGGGACATGCTACAGTAGCCAGATCGCTGGGTGCTGTCGCAGCTGCCCCCTCAGATGCTGTTCAGGAGGCTTCTGCCTTGCAGGCCACCTTCCACCGAAATGCTTCTGCTTTGCATAAACAGTTCCATTTAACTCAGAAAAGGGCTCAACAAATTGTTAAACAATGTTCTTTCTTTCTTTCTTTTTTTTTTTTTTTTGAGGAACTGGGGATTGAACTCAGGCCCTTGCACTTGCCAGGGAAGCGCTTATTCCACTGAGCCATCTCCCTGTCCCTGAAACTGTTCTTCATGTGTGAGCATCTTCCCTTGCTCACTACGGGGATCATCCCTGAGGGTCACAGCTCACCCATTTCTGGCTGATGGACGCCACTCACATTCCTGAGTTGGCTCTCACCGATGCTGGGTGCACGCTTCAGTGGGCGCTTCCTCGGGGCTTAGTTTTGCTTCTTCCCACACTGGTGAAGCAGCTGAACCTGTCATTGGGCATTGTCTGGATGCCTCTAGTGGCCTGGGCTGCCCGGGGGCATTTAAGACTGACAGTGGCCCAGCTTATTCCAGTGCTTCTTTCCAAACATTTTGTAAAACTTTTCCGTTTCCCTTACCTCAGGAATTCCTTGTAACTCTGAAGGTCAGAAATATGTTAAGCATGCTTACTGCATGCCCAACTACAGAAACGAAAGGGAGAATCCTTCCCTATGAAATTTGCACATCATAATAACCCTCACCTGGCAGTATATACTATCAACTTTTAAAATTCTATTAGGGATGGGATTGCAGCAGCAGAAAGGTGATTCGAACAGGTAGAGGAAGCAAAGATAGGAAGGGTCCTTAGGAAAGATCTTCATACTGGACGATGGAAGGGACCTAGTACTCATATGGGGTCAAGGTTATGCTTCTGTCTTTCCAGAGAATGCTGAGTGGCCTATCTGGGTCCCAGAGCATGCTGTCCAGCTGTATCATGGACTCAGATCCAGAGAAGGATTTGATTCCACCCTTCAAAAAGCTGATGCAGGGCTAGCCTGATAGCTCAGTGGACTGAAGTACTGCTTATGCAGAGCACAGTGACCGGGATTTGATCCCAGGCACCACGAGCCATACTGACCCCATCCCCAGGGCACACTGAGACAGCAATCGAGACTGCATGTGGTGGCCCGCACCTGTAATCCCAGCTCTTGGGAGGCTGGAAACAGGAGGATCACTATGAGTCTGATCTGTGTAGGGAGACCCTGTAGACCCTGCACTAAATACATTGAAAAAAATAGCTGATGTTCAGTTGGTGTGGCAATGATGCTTCAGAGACTGTGCCACAGCCTACTGACAAGGAGGGGCTAGAAACGACCTGGGACTGATTAAGGGAATTGACCCAGGATGCCCAAGAGATAGCAGCCAAAGACGGGGACCAAAGGTCTGAGCAGGTGACAGGCTGCAGGGAGAAAACTAAGCTGAAAGCTACGTAAAAGAAAGGTGCCCAAAGTTACTAGCATTCTTTTTTTTTTTCTAGCATTCTTATTTTTAAAAAAGAATAAAAATAGTAAAAGAACGAGGAGGAGAAGAAGAAAAAACAATACAGAATTTCACTAAAGAAAAAAATAGAAATTCAACAATGGTTGTTACATTATATATTGTATTAAAGCAAATAAAATACAAAAATATATTAATCATGGATAAAATATTTTGTTCCAATTCTTCATGTAAAAGATCTCTGCTATTGACTTACAATAATTACAAACTTCTAAAATTGTAAAAGAATTACTACAATTAAATTTGGTCAAAAATATGTTTGAGTACGTTCTGATTTTTTTTAAAGATGTTTGTCTGTCCAATCTGTTAAGTGGTATGTTGGTTTGTTTGTGTGCTTGTTCTAACTGTGAACAACTGTTTTTTAATTTGAGCTCAACAATTTTTTTGCTTTTCTTTTTTCTTTTGCATTTTTGGATTATTTGTTCATAGTTTAGTTTGGTTTACAGATTTAAAAACATAGTGCAACTGGGGCCTTAGAGGTATCAAAATGGTATCAAAAATGGTTTTCTCATAGGTCATCACAATTGTTAAAATAATTCAACAAAAATTCCTTAGTGTAGGGAGAAATTACTGGACAGGGTACCACTTGATGGGTAAGAAAGCAGCGACCTGGAAAGTGTCCAGCTCTTGTTCACTAATAGGGGCCCCAATTATCTCTATGTCCTTATGGGTGACACCCCAATAAATGTTGTTAAAATATATTATTGCAATATGTTTATACTTGTCATTATCAAAAGATTAAGTTTTCTAGACATGAATCAATAAAGTTTTCTGATTTGGAGATGTTCAGACATAAAACTAAATAAAGAAACAAAAGGTTGCACATGGTTATGACAATTTATTGTTATTGATCTCATGGAATATTAAATGTACTCATGGTTCCAGATGTACAGGTTTTCCAAAATGTAAATCAGGCATTATTTATGGTGATAGAATTTTCTTTCAGATACAGACATGTGTCTTTCACAAAAAATTTTGTGTTGCACACCCCATTAAAGGTTAACAAGTTAGATAAAAGTTTCTTATGTACTATGTAGAGCTGACTAAGAAGGCTATCTTTACGTCCTACTGGAAATTCAAGTGTGTTACAAAATGTCATCATGATTGTCATGCTATAATATGATGCGTGGCTTTTGATTTCTAATTTTCTGTGTAAAATAGATAACTTTTGTCTGTCAAACTTCTAAAGTGATTCAAACACTGAAATATTCATGGTTGGTAGGAAATAATCTATTTTTGTATAATAGTAAACTCACCACTCCCACTACCATGTAATGTCATTAACCTTCTCTTCCCGATGTTCAACAACTGAGGTTAGGAGACCAAAAACTAAAAAGATACATGGGCCATAAGGAAGCCAATATTTTTACTACAGCCCTCTGAGGTCAGTGAGGACCCAGGACAGGTGAGAACATTTTCTGTGACATTCTCTAACTCTGGTGAGTTATACAAAGTCCTGGCCAAGAAGATTTTGAGACCACAGAGGAAAGCAATCAACCATGCACAGTGCCTAGGGAGTGTCACTAGGGGAGAAAAGTGTCCCAAGTTTTCACAGGCAGAAACTTGGTCAAGCAATGGCCATGACTCATCCATACAGCTGACACTGACAGAAAAACTGTATTATGCCTGATTCCAAGATAAATCTTCTGGAGACTTAACTGACCTTGATGGCAAAAAATTAATTTTACTTAATACAGGTCTCACCTTAACTTGGCTTTAAACATCCTGCAAAAATTATAACTACAAGAGGTATTAAACAATGCTATAATAATATGCTAGCTATTAAAGAAACTCAAGTCACTAACACCTTGTGACAATTTTCATCTACACCAGTAACAAACTACTGTTCGGGGTTAATGGAGTGTACAGGGTTAAATTGTTGCATGCAGGAACCTAAAATTCTTGGACTTGGAATCTTTAGCCTAAATGACTAAGTTCACTCAGAATGAAAGGGTTTGAGAGTGAGGAGGTCTTCAGAGCCCCCCAGGCACAGCTCCTCCAACTTCAGCTGATCACCCATCACTTGTAATTACAAAACAGAAGAGGGGGAAGTTTGGCCAGAGGCTGAGGCTGGAAATCGATCAGATTGATCACACATGCAGGGCTGCAGCAAGGCTAGTACCAAGCACCAAGAGTGCCTGAGGTGAACCGCAGGAACAAGTGTCCAAGCCAATCCAAGAGAGCAGGTTGCCAGGCAGAGGATTGGCATGTGACATCAACCTGCCCACTGTATAAGTAAACACACTGCAGTCCTTGAGCAGTCCTTTTTCTCCTAGGAGGAGAGGAGTCTCCAGCTGACCTCTGTATTCTGACTCACCTTTTATTTTTCATTCTCAACCATCGTTTACTCTGAAAATGTTGAGAGCTGTGCTAGATGCAGCATTTTCCAAGTAGGAAGTGTTAGGCTTTTTGTCACAGTAAAGAGACAGGAAAGATAAAAGAGGCCTTTATTGTGGGCACAGGGAAGGCAACAGGAAAAAAGAGGAAAAAAGAGACAAGGAGTTTGGGGAGCGGGGCCTGGCCAGGGGAACAAAGGCTATACAGGGCCAGGGTGGAGGTGGGGCTTGGGTGGCAGTCTCTGTGACGTGGCAGGTAGCGATTGGGCAGGAGGTAGGAACAAGGAAACAGGATATAGTGAAAAGGGAGTAGGAAGTTGTAATTTGATCAGGGAGGAGGAGGGCGGAGCTTAGCACCTGGCTCCAGGGGCTGGTGCCATAGTGGCTCACAGCCATGATGACATAGCAGAATTTTTATTAAGGCGGAGAAAACCCATAAGGAGGTAGATAATATTAAATTCTACCAGGCTTTGTCCTTTCTTGTAGGACAAAAAGCAAAAAGAATTTACAGGTATTTCTTCGACCCCAGGAGAAACCCTAGGTAAGAGACAATGGTGGAAAAATGAAGACATTGGATTCTAACCTTAACTTTCCCTTGCAAAATGAAGATTATAATTCTGACACTTGAGAATTTTGGGGAGGGTAATAATGAAATACAAGCCACAGAATACCTGGCAGTGCAAAGTGCCTTGGAGGTGCTCAATAAGTGTTAGCTTCCCACATATTAATCTACTTCGTCTGTGTATTGATTGGAGAAATAAATTATTAACAGTTTTCAGACAATTAAGAGTAAAGAGACAGCATTATGCTACCATGGATTTTTTTTTTAAACTTCTCTGGACAGTGAAATCAACAGACACATCGTTTGTAATTTTTCATCTCTACAGTTTGCTCAGCCCACCAGTGAATACTACCCATGGGCCTAGTCTTGGGAGCTTTAAGACCTAATTGTAAAAACAAACGAAACCATGGGAAATACCTACAGAGAAATAAAATGCTAATAAAATATGTACGTTTTAATAAGGGAGGCAGAAGGACTGAAACGCCCTAGGTTTTGTTAATACAAATGGCAGGAAGTAGTGTATATGTGAGTTCACTCGGCAGCCAGAACACTGGACAGTGTAACCAGCATTCTTGGTTAGAGTTTGGGCAAACTAACCTAAAGCAAATGAAATTCTGATTTGGCAATGTGTCCTTTTAAGGCCACAGCATGTTGTAGAGTATGTCTGCATTAATCCCCAAATAAAGAAAGGATCAAACTTTCCATGACCTGACTTCTCAGCAGACTGCCTCATCACAAACCCTGGGAAGCCCAAATGGCAGGCTAATTTTTTTTCTTCCCCAAAATTGAAAACAGCTTGAGCTCTCTAAAATCCTTGTCATCTAGCAAGGCAGATAGAAACTAGAGAAGAGAGCAACCTCATAACAAAATAACAGCAGGATTAGCTCACAGAGAGATAGGACTTGGAGGCATGCAGCAGAACACTATTTCTGCAGGACTGTGACCTTGAGTCTCCTTGCTCTGGTCTTGTGGCATTATTTAAAGGATGGAGAGAGACTTGAAATTAGAGAAGGCACTTAGGTGCCCTTCCTCCAGCCTGCCTTCTGAGACTATTTCTAGCTGGACCATTGCAACCCAGGAAAGGAGAAGAGTACAGTGAGGGCTTCCACTGCGTTGAGTTTGCCATCCAGTGCGGGAAGTGTGCAGAGGTGGAAGTGAAGGTGCGGCCCCAAAGGGGACAGTCAGTGACAGTCACTGGTCCATTAAACCTGTAATCTTAAAAGTGGAATCTGCCAAATCCATTTCTAATTTAGTGAGCAGATGATAGAGGAAAAGAGTCAGCAAATCATTCTGTACCTTTCACTCGGCCCCTAAAGCACAGTTTGTCATTTTAATATTTTAATTGTGTTTCTGAAAAATGGGTTCCACTGCTGTGGACAAAAAAAGATGGAAAGTCATAATACTAGCTGATTTGTGGAAAGTCTTCTGATTTTAACAGGAATATATAAAACTTGGAGAATATATAAAATTTGTTTTTCATACAAAACACCAACAGCAACAGCAAATAAAGAACATGACTAATGTTTCCCCAAGGAAAGTTAGCATCTGGAAATCAGATTCTTTTTGTGCGCAGTGGCATTTTCCTCAATGCATTTAACTTCTCAATGACCTATGGGCTTGCATGGAGCTTTTCAATGTTAGAAAGGCTGATAGCTCTTTGCTAAAGGCAAACAAACAAACAAACAAACAAAAACCCAGTATAAATGGAGAGGGAAAATTTTACAAGTGACTCGACAAAATACCATTGAAATCTTAATTTGGCAATGATTCATTCTTTTTTTTTTTTTTTTCTCCTCGAATGCCTTCAGGGCACTTTTGGCTGGCTAGAGTGTTGTGGGGATCGAACTACAGCAACCTGAGGCTGACAGCTTTGTGGAAACAGCCACTTAAAGAACGGAGCTAGGGCCAGGCCCCCTGCAATGATTCATTCTTAACATTCAGGTTTCAATAGGAATAAGTTGGTCTCACATGCACTTGAAAATCCAGAGCACAATATTCATAATGTTGCCAAAAGAGGCTCTGCACAAAATTCACAGCAGACACCTACTGAGGAGGCAAAAAGGAAGACTGTATAGGAAGACAGAAGAAACAGGAAAAGGAAGTAAGAGGAGAGGAGGGAAGGATGAGAGGTAAAGGGGGAGGAGGGGAGGAAGAAGAAATGAAGGAAGGGAGGGAGGAAAAGGGCCAAAGAAGGTGAGAACCTGCCCAGCGAAGACCAGCACAGGCGGCACAGTCTTGTGCAGAGCTCGGGGTGCTCTCGTTCTGGTTCCCGTCCTCCCACTCCTTCCAGCTGTGCTGCTGCTGCCCAGTCTTGGGACGGGAATATCGCTAGGCAGCCAGGGTGGGTGGGGAAAGCACAAACAGGAAAAGGAAAGACAACAAGCCGCAAGTAAAACTCTTTAGGAAACCTTACTAATCAGACCAACTTCATCCTCAACAAATGTGATTTGGAGCAGATGATCCTGAGACTAAAAGGAAAAGAGAAGTTAGAAGAAATGGACTTAGGTTAAATCGCTGTTGTCCACCACTTATTCAGAGGACTTTCTTCCAGGCCCTGGTACGCCTATCGCCCATGAGGACTCCATCCACCCCTAAGTTACCTGCCCCTCTAGGGCAAAACCAGAATGCACCAATCAGCCTTTCCTTGGGCTGCAGCCCCCAGCACACTGTCGGCCCCACAACTGAATTGCCTAAGTGGAGTTAGTAACTCATGTTTGCCCAGCAGACAAGAAAATAATTAATTAGCAAGAGGTACACAGTGAACAGAATCCCTTACGTTAATTCCATAAAACATTCTTAGTTTAGTGAAATATACAACTCTAGTTTCTACAGTTACCCTATTTGACTTTACAAAAAACATGTCCTGTTAGGGGAAAATGTTGTTTGCTAATGTGTGTGCTATGATATTTTCTAAACACTACAGAACAAACCCTAGACCAGGTGTGGTGGTGCACCCCTGGAGTCCCAGCGCTTTGGAGGTAGGATACAATAGGGTATGAGGCCAGTCTGGGCTACTGTAGGGAGCCCTTTTTAATCCTTGTATTGGCCCAGGAAGATTGTATTTGTAATGCCATGGATAAGTTATTGGAATCCCATCAAGTTAATTCCAATCCATCACTTCCAGGGCAGCCCATGGTAAGAATAAAGATACTAAAGCATTTTTATAGTTATGGGGAGCCAGGGGGTCCTAAGTCCAGCCATGGTGATGGCTATCCAGAACAAAGACCTCTACCCAGGGCCAAACTTGAGTTTTATTCAGTCATAAAGGAGGAGTGGCTTGAGGATGAATGAATGACTGAGACTTGCAGGAAGTAAGTGAGCACTGTGAGCTGGGCTAGGTAGGAGGCCTGCATTTACCTCTGCGATAGGCAGAGCAGGATATGCAGAGGGTAATCTGCATTATATTACTGAGATAACATCAAACGTTTTGGGGTCTGGAGCTTCAGCTGTGATGTGTAGTCTTTCAGGCCCCAGGAAGTCATAGCCTCCATCTCGAGGCTTGATCCCAGCAGACAATGTGGAACAATGGCTCTTTGTCCTGTCTCAACCTGGCTCATATTAAAGAGCACAGATGTGGGTTATCAGGGAAACATGCCTGCCATCTTCAAAGACTACCCCAGCACCTCGGCTAGACCAATATGCACTGCTTAAAGTCAATTGAAGGGATAAGGAAAAGTCCTAGCCAGCTCTGTACATATCAGTACAAGGAAATTGGGTCAGGCTCAGCCAAAATGGAGGTGATTGGCCTTCTTTCAGGGGGGCCTCCACAGGTGACATAAGTAAGCTCAAGGCAGCCTGGACCATATAGTGAGACTCTGTAGGAAACCCCACTAAACCAAAACACCCAAAGCCTAAATTTATCCAATGAACATTTTTCAAGCACCCATCCCAGTTGACAATTTTAGGCTGCACTAAGCAGGACCAAAACCATCTATGTCTCATAGAGCCTCCAGATGTTAAGCAACTAATTACCTAATTAATCATTTGATTAACATTGTGATTGATGAATGCTTGATTGTTTGGATAGGGTTTGTGTGTTGAAGCTTCTTCCCCATTGTGAGGTAGTGGGAGCGCAGAAACTTCTGTGTGTGCGATTTTAGACGGAGCCTTTGGGAAGAAATTAGGCTTTAATAAGGTCAATAGGGTGGAGCTGTCATGAGTGAATTCTGGTGGGTGTGTAAGAGAAGATAGGGGGTTAGAAGAAAGACAGATAGACAGACAGACACACACACACACACACTCCCTCTCTGACCAAGTGAGATCCTGCTCCTCCTTGGAATTGTCAACTAGAAGGCTGTCCCCACACGTGTCCCTTTGATCTTGGACCTCCAAAACCACCCTCCTTATAAGTCACCTTGCTTGAGATATTCAGTGATTAGCAACAACATGTGGACCGACACAAAGCAATTATGCCAGCGCGCAGCTTGCTACAAGAGTATGTAGCCTAGAGATCTCAGAAGTGGCTTGAGAAAGCAATGATGCTTACATTTATGCAGAGAAGTTAATTATGTGAATCAAGAAAGGGAGAATCATTGCTTGCAAGCTTGTTGGAGGCCCCAGAGTAGGAAGTACCACAGATGTTGGCAGAACAGAGGTGGGCAGTGCAGCTGAAGCCCACCAGCAAGGCAGGGCAGCACAAGGGCAGCGAGTGCCTGGCAGAGGTGCACAGGCTTACAGAGAGGTGGACTGTATACTCTGAACTGAACCCCCATAGCACTAAGAAGGGCTCCTCTAGTAAGCGCTGGACTGCTCATGAAGAGGGTCCCAGTCAGAGCGTGCAGCATGGCTGATGCAGGTGGAAGTGCTTCTTCTTTCTGAATCCCTCCTCCCGTCCTGCACTCTTTGCTAACCTTTGATACTGAAAATGCTGCGTTTCCAGAGGAAAGGCTTACTCCTAATGCGGACCGAGCTTGTAAGCACCTTGCCTTGGTGAGGCAACAGAGCGAGCCTCCTGAGAGTCCGGAGTGACATGGCTAGGAGCCTTGTCCAAGGCCGCAACTCGTAGTTGCCTTATGAAGAAGCAGCTGCTGTTGTCAGACCTGTGCAGAAAAGAGTAAATTCAGTACAAGTAAATAGATTTGATTATCGAGAGATTGCACAGTACTTTCGCTTCTCACCACATCAATATTTCTTACCAACCTGAGCCAACTTTCCACTGAGCTCCTCGATCTAGAACGTTGTGCAGGGCAAGGCCTCTGCCCTGTAGAACTCACCCCATGTGCGTCGACTGTGAGTCCCCAAGAGGGAAACCCAGCTCACTAGTCTGCCCACGCCTGCTGAGTGCAGAGTGACTTATTCAGCCGAGAATCTCGCAATACGATATTAGCGAAAGGCTGCTAGTGTTATCTACAAGGAGCCGTGCTAGGTGTCCCCAAGACACGACTGGGCTTGCACCATGTGAAAACATACCATTAAAAATGCCAGACCAGACCCATTTCCTAGAGAACGAATCAGGTGGCTTTTAGTGGGTCTCCCTTTTTAAAATAAATGACAAAGAAGTAATGTTAGAAGACCCTGAACCCCTGGAAGGAGAAACACTGGATTCAAGAGATCATCGTGAGGTTTTCACAGTGAGGACTGAAACACACATCCCTCTTCTCAGCGAGCTCTGAATCCACACCAGTGACTCTTTCCCACTTGACTTAAGCGTCATGCCAATTATACAATATTTTGATACTATTTTAATTCAAAGAAAGGAGTTATTCTGGATGGGAGGCTAATTAAGACAGACATCTCTCCATTCTGAAAAATAAATGCATATTGTGGAAGTTGTTAATAGAGTCTCTGTGTTTGTTTTCCTGTAAAGCTAATAAAAACTGTCTTTTGCTCTCTGGCCCTCTCCAAGCCATGGTCTTCTCTGAAGGGCTTGTCCAGGAGCAGAGGCACCAGCGTGGGGTTGCTGGAATAGCGGGTTTCACATTGTTTAGGTTCATTAAGTTTTAATGTGATTGACGCTGGGATCTCAATAGAAAGTTTTTCTTTCCCTTTCTAAAATGCTGCAGGGAGGAATTAGTCAGGAGATTTGCTTATCTCATGACAAGGGGAGACCTGAAGACAACTTGTCTTCTGCTCTAGTCTTCCAGAGAACTCTTGATGAGTTATTTTAGGGATAATTTTGGTAGGTTCTGATGATTCACACTGCACTGAGGTATCATGCTCTGATTTCATTAGGAAGGATGTAATAAATGACCTATTTCAGATAAGTACATAGAAGGAAGCTGTCTTAGCACACAATAACTACTTGGGAATGTTTATTCAATTGTCTAATCTTGTTAGTGACAAATATTTCCTGAGTCATTTTCTCTTTGATGTCAATGACTTCCTCTGCTAGTCACGCCAAAGATTCAGTCCACCAGTGCTGGTTCCCAGCTTCAAATGAAGGGAATCAGCACTACGAGCTCATGTGGCAGGACAAGTCCCATCTGAAGACAACATGTAGGAAGCGCAATTCTGGCACACAACATTGACATACTTCTCCAGCGGATGCGGGTCTGCCGCCTGGCACCGAGAGAAAACCCCCAACGAAATTTGTTTTCTCTCCAACCTTCCTCTTTCACTACCCTATAAACCCTAATCTGTTGTTGACCGTAACCTTGGCGACAAGAATGACAAGAATATAAAACCAAAACATCACTCCCTTTCCATGAGGAACTGCACATTCCCAGCAGATCTAGATAGCTGCACACCAAATTTCCTCTCTCCTCTCGGAGAGCTGGTGCTCGCCTTCCTGCCAACTCCGTCCCTTCTCTTAGGAAGAACGGTATTCTCTATTCCTCCATGCAATCAGAGAAAGGTGGTAGCCCTGATGGTAGCCAACTCCAGGCATAGCCTCTCCTACGGTTCTTGGTCTAATTCACATTTTCTAAAACAGAATTTGGTGGCCAGCTCAGGTGTCTACTCCTAGCACTCTCAGCTGTGGCCAGGACCAGTGGCTGTGTGCTCTGGGTCCAGACTGGAAAGCTAACTTGTGCTCAGTGATCCATGTGCCCATTACCCTTGCTATGTCTTTTCCCATCTAAATTTAAATGCATCCCTTCCAACCTACATCCAAAAGTGTAAAATTTACATGAATATCATAATCAAGGCTTGGGGAGATAGATGGGTGATCCAAGAACCTGCCTGGCAAGCGTGAGTTCCCAGGTTCGATCCCCAGTACTGCATGCCAAGCCAGCCCAGGAGCCACGAGCACACCACGCTAGCCCCAAAACTGAGTGTGGCAGCACATGCCTGTAATCCCAGTGCTGGGGAGGCTGTGACAAGAGGATCACTATGAGTCCAAGATGTGTAGCGAGACCTTATATCAAAATAATAATAATAATAAAACCTAAAGATTTTGACTTTCTAACAGGATACCTTTATAAATGTCCACTGGAGAAATCTTGCCATAACTTTCCCCCTAAACTAGTAACTCTAAGCATAAGTTGTAGGGCATCTGACTGCCCCCTTAGATTTGTCAGAAATTAGAAGCTTTGCACTCTGTCTCCAATAGTCTGGGGCTGCCTGGGAGAACATCAGGTATAAAGCTCCCCAGCTGACCCAGAGATAGTGGTCCAGGCTGAGAAACAGGCTAGATTCAATACAAGGGAAAAGGAGCAGGGACTAAGTGATGGGGTTTCCCCACCAAACAAAAATTCTGCTGTCGTCATGGTGGAAAGCCATCATGGCACTGGCTCCTCAAGGCCATGTGAAACGCTCCACCTTCCTCCTCCCTAGTCAAATTACAACTTCCTACTTCCTTTTCACAGTATCCTAGTTCCTTGTTCCTGCCTCCTGCACAATCACTCTCTGCCACGTCATGCAGACGGCCCCCCAAGCCCCGCCTCCATCCTGGCCCTGTATAGCCTTTGCTCCCCAGGCCAGGCCCTCGGAAGCTCTGTCTCTCCTTTCCTGTGGTCTTCTCTGTTCCTACATTGAAGGCCTCTTTTGTCTTTCCTGCCTCTTCACTGTGCCAAGAAACCTAACACTAAGAATTTGAGATCAGGGTCTTCTGTCAGGGTTCAAACCCAAGAACACCAGCCATTTAGTGTTTGTAGGTGAAACACACAAATCAACTCCGTACAAATCAACTTCCTCGCTGGATTTTCACTGCGGTATTCAGCACTTGGGGTCTGTGGCCAGAAATGTCCAGGTATTCTCATAAAGCTCATACAGCCTTTCACTACAAATATGGGCATCTCTAGCCAAGCTTGGTAACACATGGCCTGCACCTGCCAGGAAGGTAGCACGTGTAGGCAGCCATTGCTTCTACAGGCGATGAACATGGAGAGTCTGCTTCCCAGCCAGATGGGTTCAGTTATCCTCAGAGATCAAATGTCCACCAAAGGCAGAACATATGCATCCCACAAGAGAAGGGCGAATGGGCTGCGCTCAGCGCCAGAGCACTGCGAGGGTGGCTTCATCCTGCTCGACAAGACTCATGTTCAGCGTGGAGGAACTGGGCTGCAACTCCAGAACCTTGGGCATGATGCTGCTGGTGAGGGACATGCCTTGGGGTCGTGGGTTTTGTTCCCATCACTGTCGGCGCTGGGCCACGTGTTAGGTGGACAAGGGAGGCGATTTTATTCCCTCCTGTCCTCTCCTTCCTTCTCTGAGCTCCTTCTCCTCTCCTCTCTTTGCTTTTTTCCCCTTCCTCATCCTCCTTTCCTTTCTTAAACATCTTCTTTAGAAAGTTTCTTAAATTCATTAATTCGTGTGTATAGTTAAAAAATCTTATGGCAGAATGTCAACACATTGTTTTCATTATGATTTCTCAGGAGCTCTGCTGAATGCTGCCCGTATAACAGGATACAAAAAATGAGCCCAGCCCCCATCTGTGAAGGAAAAGAGAGAAAGATGCAAGCAATGACAGTAATCCCACAGGCAGCATAAAAATGACGAGTGGGCTAAGCGCCACTGAATAGGTGTGGGATGCTACAAATTGTATGAAGTGGGACATGCACTGGTGGAGGGGGCAGGACGGATGGTAAAACAGTGAGAGGAGCCAGTGAAAGGCAGGAGGAAGGTGGAAGTTTGCACATTCCTTGGGATGGGGGCCCAGTGAGGGACAATCCAGGTAATTCAGAAATTAATAGACTCCTGAGCAAGAGGAGAGAGCAAGCCTGTTGTGCATTGGCTCCAGCACCCCAGAAGTCTCATAGGTCCTAATGCCCAGTGCCTCAGAACAGGGTGATATTTGGAAACAGGGCCTTTTTGGGTGTGGTGAGGTGGAGGCCCTCCAGGAGTGGAGTGGATCTTTCACCCAGGATGCTGGTGCTCCTGTGCTCCTGGGCCAGAGGTACAGAGAGTGAAGTGGCCCTGTGAAGGAGAACGGAGAGATTGCAGGCAGGCTTCCATGCCTAGGGAATGTCCCAGAATGCCAGGGCAGGCAGGAAGGACCTCTCCCCCAGAGTCTTTGGAGAGAGCCTGATTCCAGAACAGCTTGAATTTGGGCATCTGACTTCCACAACTGCAAGCAGATAAATTTCAGCTGTTTTCAGCCACCTGGCTGATGGAATTTGCTGTTACTATACTGGGAAACTGACAGGAGTGTGAGTTAAACACACCAGTGGGTAGGCCAGGCCCTGAGCACGGGCCTGGGAAATGGGTTTTAATTTAGGTAATTACGTTTATCAGTACGTTTTAGACATAATGGCCTTACTCCTCCTGATACTGTTGTAGGCAGCCAAATTAGACAGAAATATTATAGGCAGTTCGGATCAGGCCCTCAAGGAGACAAGATGGAAGACAAGGTGACTTTGCAGCTTGGAAGAGACAGACACTCCCGTGTGGGCCACATCTCAAGACCAAGACAAAAGAGGAAACACAGCTACATACTTCCCTAGGGATGGGCATCAGGGATTGATATTCTAAATAGTTATCAATCACCTTGAAAGAGCCCAAGTGAGTCACAAGCCCAGCCCCCAACAGGAAGAGACCCTGTCCTGTACCCATGCCCACTTGCTATGTGACTCGCTTCCTCATTTGGTCCTGGATTTAATCAATTTTACCTGAGCAATGGTGCTTGTGATCTCATTGGTTGATCATAGTTTTGTCCCACCTCATGCCCTTCTAAGCAAGTTCCCATGTTCTCCACCACCTTAGACCCGCCCCACTGCATGGTTTTACTCTGCAAAAGTCCCTGGAAAAGACAACTTCCTGGGTGCTGCAATCCAAAAATGAGACAACTGGGAGACAAGCCCAAAAAGAAAAGAGTGCTTTATTTTAGCTGGTACCCAGCGGCGACACGTGGCACAAAGTGCCTGAGTGCGCACCCAGGAGGGAGAGACAAGGGTTTTTAAGGCTGAAAACCGCAAAGGGGAGGTCTCCTGACTTGAGCGCGAGTGCAGCACAGGGGTCAGCGTCCACTTTCGGGAAACAGGTTACATTTTTTTCAACCTGCGGTTACAATTTTCAGGAACAAATAATTACAATTTATGGTTCGGTGTTGATCACGGGACATACTGTGTGGAGTGCTCTGGGGTAAGAAATAGTTCAGATCTTAACCTTTAACACACTGTGGCTTAGAACAAAGGAATAATTTGAACATTAATAAACTGTGTTCGAGGTCTGATGGATGGCTTGAGCCACCAAGATGGAGTTTCAGTTGTCAGCTTATACCAAACAATCCTCATTAATAAAGTTACAGTGGAGATGTACAGAGGTGTATAATACAATGGCTATTCTGGTTACAAATGGAGTCAATCACATAGGTTATAACAGAAACACACAGAATTGTATAACAAAATAGCTGTTCTAATTACAAAAACGGAGACAGTTACATAGGTTATAACATTCTCCACTGGTTTTTGTAGCCGAGTCAAATCATTGACTCATCAGGGTTATAACTTAGCTTGTATATGTTTAGTTAAACATTTTATTAAACAAGGCTCAATGAGTAGCACTAGAAGGAACATAATCATAGGTCCAATTAATGTAGTTTTTAGATTATTTATAGTAGCTCGATTGTTTACTATGGCCCCTCAATGTGTTTTCTCTGCTCCGCATTGAGCAGGGCAATGGCTGTTGAGGTGGCATTAAGAGTCTTTGTCACATTGTAACCTAGTTGTTTCACATGCATATCTGTCACTTTCCAAAGAAGAGGTTTCAGCAATATTAAATTATTTTGACATGGGTCACCACTGCTAATCTACTCCAATAGCAAGGAACGTTAGTTAACAACAGAGTCTGAGTAGCTGGGTTTTTAGAACTCTAGAACAGGAATATCATCTGTGTCCCCACTGGTTTTTGTGTCACCTCTTGGACTGTAATATCAGTTAGGGAGGTTTTTTTTTTTTTTTTGTCTTGAGGTCTGGCCTACAGTGGGGAGCATCCGCCTCTCTCAAACTGTGGTCACCTTGTTTTTTAATTCTGTCTCCTTCAGGGCCTAGCCCTGTCTGACTGCCTATAATATTTTTGTCTAACTTGGCTGCCTGAAACATTCCCCCTCTGAAGAAGTAACCTGAACTGCCATGAAGGGATTGTGGGCGATGACCGCTCTGGCTTCTTCAAGCTAAAAAAGGGTCGTAGTTGTTGCCCGGCAGTTAGAGATACTCTCCAGAGGTTCTACCTAAAGGCCCTCAGTAGACAAGTAATTTTACCTTGGGTAGGTGGAATAGCTTTAAATCTGGAAGAGGCAAAGCCAAAGAAACAAACAAATAATAATATCAACAGGATACAGTAATCATTTAGCAGATCTGGAATACAATAACCTTTTGAAGTCTGTAATTATAAAAAACACTAGTCAGAACATTTTGTAGGTCTATTAACAGAGATCTCTTAAATGTGAGGTTTAATCTCTTTATCTTCCATGGCCATTGGGTATTGTCTCAAACTGGCCTACTCCTGTGTCTCACCAAATTTACCATTACTGGGGGCACATGAATTGTCAGACCTAGGGAAAGTACTGAGTACTCTCCAGTTTGCAAGTGGAGTCACTGGCTGGGTATCTACCGATGAATCTGCATAAGCTTCTATCAAATGTTTAACAGGCTTTTTCCTTATATTGGCAATTAACATGGGTTCCTTCAGGCTGAGAGGGGAAGATCCATGATCACCTCAATCTGAAACTTTCTCTGACTCCATCATAAATACTTTTTTTTCCCTTCTCTAGCAGCTTTGTATATTTCTGCTTGAAATATCCCTCTGTCTGGATCCAGGGAAACATAACTTTTTTCTGTTTCCTACTGACCTTTTTCCTGTAAGCTGCTAGAATCCCCATTTTTATTTTCCATCTATAATTTTATTCTGTATCCTTTTTACTATGAAATATCTCAACTCAGATAATTTATTTCTGTAAACTCTTTTTATTTCTGTAGCTTGGGTCAGATACTTGGGGTCCACTGTATAACTTCTTGGTTTTAAGGCCTCCTGCAAGTAGCTCTGCTCAAAGAATGTGAAGGCAACTTCCCCTGTAGTGGATTGCCTGACCTAGGATGAGGCTGACAGAGGAAGCATCTTTGAGGGCAATCAGGCCTGCCCAAGGAACGTGATGATAGCTTCCTATGTAATGAGGCAGGAAACCCAGAGAAGACTCAGCTCACCTGGACTGTATAAGGTGGACAGTTAAGGCCTTACTATGTCTCCATAGACAAAATCTGTATGATTACCTGGGTTTTGGTATTTTTTAAGAAAGAACAAATTTTCTGAAAAATTACAGCATGTATAATCAAAGAACAAGCATTTGAGCTAACAGGTAAATGTATAAACTTTGAGGCTAGCAATCATAACCCTCTTGCTTTTAGACCCCTTTACTTTTGTAGTCTGACAGTTTGTTATAAGTCCCTCCAGCTATACTTATAGTTGTTTTTAAATTTTGAGAACATATGAAAACCAGATTAATACCTTATTGTTACTGTCAATGCTTTTAAGTACTTTGAGTGTAGTTTGGCATGTTTTTTTAGTTATACTTGTGTTTACTATCAGCGTGAAATATCTGAGTTACATAAGAAACCAATCAGGCTAACTTAATACACTTATCATGAAATACACAGTATTCAGTCAGATTAAACCAGTGTCCAATTGAGTTTTGGATATGGCCCCTATTGTAATCAAGGGGCACTATAGAGGGATTTATCCTTTTAGCACTGTGGCTCTGAGGTTTATGTTTTAAAGACAAGGCCTGGCTCTATCTATAAGCCCAAAGCTATTGGACTCTGTAGTCAGTGTCTCTAGAATTTTTATTTTGATAGGATGTTATCTGTCCTTAGGAACCTGTTTTAACTAGTGAAATACCTTTTGAAGTTTTATATATGAATAACAATGTGTTACATTTGTAAAAACTAGTCTTAGCATCATCGTGATTAGTAAGCAACCTCAATATATATAGTAGTATCTTATTTACAGCTGAAGCAATATATTTTTTAAAGTCTGTTTCTATTGAGGTACAATGACTGGAAGGAAAATCAGGGCTGGAGAAAGACAAAGAGACCTGTGCCAATGTCCAGCAATAGGCTGGCTTTTTTTTTTCTTTAGTCGTGATTGCTCAGGGCTCCTCCATGGAGATGGCAGGTAGAGATAACAGTCTGGCCAGAGGGAGGAGGCAGGCCCAGGGCCCTTCAGTCCTGCTGGACCACCTGGGAAGCAGAGTCTGAGCTCTGGGGCCTCCGCCTCAGAGTGCAGTCTCATTTCTAGTGGCTGCCTTGGCAGTCAGGGCATGGCTTGTGGGCCTCATAAGGCAGTCCCTCGTACAGTGGCCTGGCTTTTGACAGCAGTAGTAGATGACCCTCATTGTCATTGCGCTCTTCTTGGAGCCCAGAGAATCAGACTTAGGGTTTGTTTTGAGGCCGCAACAAAGGCAGCCAGTTTTGATCTTTTTGCTTTTTCTCCCTGGTTCTCTCCCAGTTTCAATTATAGGACATGATTTTTTTCTTTTTCCTATAAAGTATCAAGTGAGTTGTCTGGAGCAAAAGCTATGTTTTTTAGCTCTTTTTTAATATCTGAAGCTGACTGAGTAATGAACTTATCTGTAAGAGTAATCTGTCTCCCTACTGAATTAGCATCTCAAAAATTATGTTTTACCAGTTTTTAACATGTTAAGAAATCAGAGGGGTGTTTATTTTTGTCCTGGTAAATAGCTGAAATTTAATAACTGAATGCTTGATCTTATTATTATTATTATTTTAGACCTTTAAGAATACATATTAGAAAATATTTTTCACTACAATCTCCTGCCTGGCTATTAGGCCAGCAGGGGTCTGACTGCTTGGGCTCCAGTGGGAGCAGGTAGTTCCTGTTACAGCTGCACCAAGATAGACTGGCTGTCTATCTTCTGGTTGTTTAAAATTGACAATATAACACTTATTTTTAAATGCAACATCAGCTTATAATGTTGCCTGCCTTTTTATAGAAGTCAAAGCTTGGCTTAAGATTAACATTACATTTTTTAAAATCTAATTTAACATAAGACTACTAGACAGGTGACAGGAGTCTTAAGAAGGAAACAATCATTGCATAAAAAGGTCAATTTATCTAATCACCTAGGCAAACAGTTTTAGCAGCTGGACAAGACTTAAACTTGAAGCTCACAGGTGAAACCTATATTCATCATCTAGCAATTAAATTTGTTACATATTGGTAAAAAAACAATACAGCTGGCAACCTTTTTTTTTTTTTTTTTTTTTAGTTAACATATAAAGCAGATGTTAGCTTTTGGTGGTCAGGAACCAGTTTTTACCAAGGAACCTTCGGGTATGGCGCCTTAACCCTGAAGGGGTTCTTTTTTTGGTTCACACAACCAGAGATGTCTCTAGAAAGGAATCCAGCAGTTTTTCTGGTCAATATTCAATCAGCCATAGGCCTCAGTGGGGATTTACCAAAGAACGGCTGGGGAAATCTGTTTTTTTTTTTTTTTGTTTGTTTTGTTTTTAAAGAGTAGTAGCTGCTCTAAAAGCATTTACTAGCTGGCTAAAAGTCTTATTTTACAGAAGTTTATATAAAATCCATTATGAAGCTTATTAGCCTTATCCTCCCTAGTGTTATTGTCTAAAGTAGAGCAAGGAATACCAGTACATTTAGCAACTAGTTCAAATGTAGCACATACAAATATAAAATAGTCATAAAGTGTCCCATTAAAGAAATATCATAACCTTATAATAATTTTATGTTTTAGCTTAGATCTACCAACACATTTTGAACAATATTTTAACAACTGCATAATGAGTTTGTCTGTGTACCGGCTGGAAGGTGGAACAAGTAGGTTCTGAGGGTGATGGTCGGGGGTCACCGCTGCTTCTTATCAGTTGGAACTGCCTGTGTGACCAGGTGGAATTGGCCAGTTGTCTGGGAACGGTGTCCAGAACAGCAAACCTTGAGTCATTTCAGGGGGTCAGCAATGGACAGTGGAGGAGGTCGGCTCCGAGTCCTTCGGGGAACTAGGAGGGGGATCCCGAGAGGGTGATGGGGAGATGGATGGGGGAGGAGAGGGGGTTCCCGTGGAGGATAGGTGACAGGGAAGGCTGTTGTGGTTTCTTCGGAGGAGCTAACAGCCAAGAGGGAGGGCCGTAGGATGGTGGTCCATGGCCTTGATAACTTTCTCGATCCAGGTGGGTGGATCCTGGA